CCGGCTGTTCGAGCACCTGTTCGCCGACTACAACGAGATCATCCGGCCCGTGGCCAACGTGTCGGACCCGGTGATCATCCAGTTCGAGGTGTCCATGTCCCAGCTGGTGAAGGTGGTGAGTGCGGGGCGCGGGCGTGCGGGGCGCGGGGAGAGGCGGGGGGGGGCGGCTCCAGAGCCCCGAGCCACCCGCGCCCGTGCTTCCCTGTCTCCCTCTCCAGGACGAGGTCAATCAGATCATGGAGACCAACCTGTGGCTCAAACAGGTGCGTGGCCGGTGGGCGCCTCGACACTGCCGCCTGGCGGGGGGCCTCGGAGCTGCGGCCGCTCACGGGGGACCCGCCCGGGGGACCCAGCGCCCTAGCCAGCACCCCACGACCCTGCTCCTCCTGTGGCCGTGGCCTCACCTGTCCCCCACCCGTGGGGTCCAGAGCTCCGTCCCAAGAGCCTTTCAAGCCCCCTCCACCCCCCTCACCCTCCTCCCTGCCCTGGCCAGTCCTGCGACTTGAACTCAGGGCCTGGACGCTGTCCTTGAGCTTCTTTTGCTCAAGGCTAGCACTCTACCACTTGAGCCACAGCACCACTTCTAGCTTTTTCTGTGTATGTGGTAGTGAGGAATCTAACCCAGGGCTCCATGCCAGCTAGGCAAGCACTCTACCACTGAGCCACATCTCCCTCCCTCCCTCCTTCCCTCCCTTCTTCCCCTCCTTCCCCAGTGCTTGGGCTTGAACTCAGGGCCCGGGAGCTGTCACTGAGTTCCTTTTGCTCAAGGCTAGTGCTCTAGCATTTGAGCTACAGCTCCACTTTCAGCTTTTTTGGGTGTTAATTGAAGATAAAAGTCCTGCAATGCTAAAATACTCAGGAGGCTGAGATCTGAGGATCACAGTTCAAAGCTAGCCCAGGCAGGAAAGTTCGTGAGACTCATCTCCAATGCTAGAAAGGGAAGAGTGGCTCAGTGGTAGAGTGCGAGCTGTGAGCAATGTTGCCAGGCTCTGAGTACAAACTCCACAACTGACTGGCGGTCGGGGGTCGGGGTAGGGGTTCCACAGACTTTCCTGCCAGGCTGGCTTCAAACCACAATCCTCAGGTCTCAGCCTCCTGCGTAGCTGTAGCTGGGATTACAGTTGTGAGCACCAGCATTTGCGTGGAAGGCATCGTCTTAGTAGAGTTTGAAGACTTCTCTGAAAAAGACACACACAAACATACACAAGTATATAGTAATTTCATTGTTATTATTAAGGTATTGTACAGAGAAGTTACCATTTCATAAGTCAGGGAATAAGTACAATTCTTTTTGGACAAAGTCACCCTTTGCGTTCTCAATATGTAAATCTAGGCTGGGATTCCGGGGGTTTGTGTCACCCACCACCCTGGGCCTGAAGAGTGATTTAAACAGCAGGAGCTCAATGTATGGGTTTAGCACTAGTGTTACAGTCCAGGAAGTGACCCCAGATAGCTCTAGTCAAGGCCTGTGCTGT